TCGGTATGCCCACACAATTCCGGGCCCACCACCCTGTCGCATATGGTCCAGATAAGTATCACCAATGTCAATATTAAGAGGGCAGTATTAGTGCCACTGTGCTGGCCAACATTCCCTAGTTAACTTTTTACATGCCTGGGCAGAGTTTTTGATGCTGGTGGCATGAATAAAAATGTTTTTGTTAGAAAGTGTCAAACATGTGGCTTATTCAAAGGTGGTGAATGGACTGGATTGACCAGAAATCTAAGCTTCATGTCATGAGATGGTTTTTAAACAAGTTATCATGTTGAAAATAAAACAATGGGCTCCACTGTGCCTTTGTAAGCCTTGGGCATGTCTGGAGGAGTTCTCTGTTACTCTGTCCCCCTGGCATATGCTAGTATTAGTATATAGCCATGCTATGGAACACGTGAGCAGAATCCTAAGAACTTTTTGAGCTCTTGGACCCCTTCTTTTGGCTATTGCTCCCAACATACCCATATGGTTCAGCTGGGAGAAAAACCTACGTAGATCCAGTTTAGCTAAATAAAATCCCCAAATGCTTGAGTATGTATTGTGGTTATGACTAAGGTTGCCATATTTTTACACCTGAAAACCAGGACATGTCAGGAATTTTCCTGATGAATGGCAAGCCTAGTTATGACTATTTAAGCATATTGGGATTTTTCTGTTGTCAAGCACTTCAGTGTCCCTTCTTGGTGCTGAAAGGTGGTATAAAATGCTTTGATAACTACAAATAGATATCTCCGCCTGTCAGAATTATGAATGAACTGAATTGTTGTACAAATTGGGTTTTGGAATTGCTATCCGTACTGTTCATTATTATATGACTGTGATACACCAATAGCTCCGTAGCAGAGAAGGGCATACACTTGTTCTCTGCTACCCCAGAGGGCAGTACTAGATCTAATGGACTTACTTAGAGGAATTTAGATTCAGGAGCATATAAACCTACCTTCTACTTAGTTGGATCTTTAGTGCATCTGGCTCAGTGTTGTCTCAGTAGCTCTCTAGGCTTCTGGACAGGTGGCCTTTCCCAGTCCTACCTGGAGACGATGGGCATTGAACTTGTGGCTTCTGCATGCAGAGCAAATAATCTACCACAGAGCTATGGCCCTTTTAGTCTAACATTCAGTGGAAACCTCTTCACCAGGAATGCCTGGTGTGGTGGGGCAGTGCCACAGAAACACCCTCCAGACACTGACATTGCTGCAGCTTATTCATTGGAGCTGGGACTTGGGTGGCTGTGAGGCCAGGGCTGATGGAGCCATTCCATACTTCTATTGGTGCATTCATACAGCACTGACCTCACTGCTGCACAGCCAGTGTCTGTCCAGGTAAGCTACGGACTGGTGTTGGGAGGGCAGCTCCCCAGCATTGCCCCCACCACACCGGCTGCTCCTGCTCTGTTGGGGATGCTTGAGTGTTGGATTTCCTGCATCAAGCAGGGGATTGGACTACATGGCCTAAAAGAGAACAGATAATAATTGAAATGGGATAAGTAGCTGGGGCAAGCTTTTCAAGTGTTTATAATCTACTCAGGTTTCTGGTTGGGGATAGCATCCTTTAATTATTTCACTAGGAAAAGCTTTCTTTTATTTTTTTGTTTCCCCATATATTCATCTCTAGTATCTGTTTGATATTGTTATTTTGAGGACTGATTTATTGTATTTGATTGTAATTTGATTGTATTGATATACTATTTATCGCTTTGGGGGCCTTTGGGTTAAAAAGTTGTGTGCGTGTGTGTGCCTGCCATAGCAGTCAACTTTCAGATTTGAAAATAAGGGATCAGCAGCCTCAAAAATAAGGGACCAGCAGCCTCACCTGTCCCGGGGACAGTCTACGGGATATCTAACAATCCGGGATAGCAGCGGGAAGCAGCGGGAAACAGTGCTGGAATAAGGGAATTTCCCACAAAAAAAGGGAAGGTTGACAGCTATGGTGCATTCACAGAGATTACACACACACACACACACACACACACACACACACACACAGAGAGAGAGAGAATAGAATCATGGAGTATATGCCTTTTGTCTACCCCATGAGCTATTCTGGAAGCACAACTACTCATAGGAAAAGGCATTTTAGTGTCCCAATCCGAGGTTGGTGCAAATATGTACCAGAAATAATATTGGAGTTTGTATGCAAGTGAATAAATCCTATTTGTGGTGCTACAACTGAACCTGGTGCATAGGGATGGATGCTAAGTATGTAGACATAGAAAGGCTTCCTTTTTAACATGGTCCTGGGTAGGCAAGAATTACTCACCCATGCCTAAAATTGTATTTTAAGCTGGGACCTCAGCTTTTGTATGTGCAGTGGTAGCACGCCATTAAAGTATCTGGCTGGGCTGCTAATCCCTGGTATTCTTACAGCGCAGACAGAGGCAAGGTGACATGTTTGTATAAGAAGCAAGGCACATGCGATGTTATATGGGGCGGTTCTTCTTGCTCGCTTTTCATTACATGTAAATTGGACCTGAGCTTTATTGAAATGAGTGGTTCTTACATCTGTGTAATGGGTCTGATGGGGATATGTTCCCAGTGTTTCTATGATCGGGGGTGCAAGTCTGTAATTCTAAGCACCCTTGTTTTCAAATGAGTTCCATTAAAACCAGATCAGTGGAACTAATGCAAAATTTGGAACTGGTGTCTAAAATAGCATTTATCAAGTGTGCAACTACAGATTCAATGAAATAAAGGTTTAGGAACTTTTAGGCCTGCAGAATTTTATCTAAGTTAATAAAGTTAATAATAATAAATAATAATAAATTAATAAAGTTAGCACTCTTTTGCAATACAGCTTTTAAAATCAGTTCTCAATGAAGCAATGAAAAGTAAAGTTCTTTCTTTATTATACTTTCCAGCTGCACTGAACATCAGCTTTATTTCAAACAAATTGTTTTGAGCATGTATTTTTATTTTATCCGAAATCTTAAGTTTTTAACGTTGACATTAATATTCCAGTATTTTCTCCAGAAATGTACAGGACATCCTTATCCATAAAGCAATTTACTTCGGTGCAAGTTAGACAGCTCTCAAGAGTTGTTTTAATCATGGGTAATGAAGCAGGCAAGTGCATAAATACAATTTAGTGTGTAGGACCTCATTGATTTTATTGGCTGTTTCAACATTGAAACCTGTGGTTTCAGAGTTTTTATTCACAGAAGCATAACTCGACCAGGTCTTTCAAAAGGTTAACCCCAAATATGTTGCTAGTGTCAAAATCCCAGATATGCATTTTGCTTGCTTGCTTGCTTATTTATTTATTTGTTTTCAATCCCATCATTCCTCCCAAAGGAGCCTTAGTTGGCAAACAATAAAGCAGATAGATGATGATAGACAGATAGATGATAGATAGATAGGTAGGTAGGTAGGTTTGTGTGTGTGTGACACACAGAGCAAGAGAGCGAGAGAGAGCACATTTAAAAGCAATTGAATATGCTAACAGTTAAATAACAAGAAACAGTATATTTTTCTATCAAATGCCTTGGTGAACAGGATTGTTTGGATTGCACCTGAATAGTCTAAGCCACTTAAGGCTAGTGCTAACACCTTGCCTTGGACCTGTTAGCTTACTGGCAGCCTAATGGGATGCTTTCAGGAATAGTTACACATGGTCACCAACCCGGCAGCCTTATTCTGCACTATGCAGTTTCCTCTTATTGATAAAGAGGATATTGAAGTCTCCCAAGGCTATTCTCATGGGGTTCTCCTACATATCACCAGAACTGCCTCTGCCTGCTCAGTCCGGGAAGAGGTTGTGCAGTGAGGTGGGTGGTAGACTTGTCTTTGCAATCCAACACTAAGTACAAACACTTACATCCAGCTCCCAGATGGATTGGTTTCTTGGTGAGAATGATGGAATTTATGTGGATGATTGCCAAGCCTCCCCTCTGGTCTGTACTGTTGCTATACTGAGTACCCAGGCAGGCAAAATCAGGAAGGTCACAAAACCCCTAGCATGCTCACCTAGGTCTCAGTAATCCACACCAGGCCAGCTACCTCATCCAGGATGAAATAATGAATGAGAGTTGCTTTCTTGTGGGCCGACTTGGCATTAAGTAACAGCACCATCAGGTGGCAGGGTGGTATCTAAACATCATGGCTACTCAAGTCTCTACGTGTGTGGGTGTGGGTGGGTAGGTGTCTGAGCAGGAACAACTGATGTTAAGTGTCTGCCATCTTCTCTCCTATGATGATACCCTCCATTCCATACCTTCCTCTCCATAAGAACCTGGAAATATCAGAAGTTCTCCCACTTGCCTCCTCTGACCCAGGCATATGTTTTTGTTTTCACCATCTTCCTTGAAGCAACCACTCAGTAGGAGGGGGAGGTTTACCTGGCACCTGTTGACTTTCTAGAGTGTATCACGCTTCTGTTCAAAGTGCCTTTCATTAGCCACAATAATCAAAGCCAGCCATGGCCTTTGGTGTTAGATCAGAGATGGAAGCTTCAGGCAGTTTGGAGTCCCAGGAACGCAAAACGTGACCAATACAGCAAGAGAGGAGGAAACAAAATGCTATGCTGTTAGATCTCCCAGGCTCTAAGTATATGTTGCATTGTATAATAGCCATTAAATGCCCATGTGATAGTTCTCAGTTAGGATCAAGAGAATTTTCAGGAAACTTGAATTTAGAGGCTTTCTCTGCCCTCTATCATCAACAGTTAGCCTCTGCATTGAACCTCTAGGGACGCAACAATCAAACTCTTGATTTCATAGCAATATAAGACATGAAGAGTAACCAAGAGATGCAAAAATGAGTAATATTTTGAATTTAATTATATTTCAAGCTTAGGTTAGATGCTGCTAAAAGTGAAGCCAGTTGAATAACGCCACCCAAAATTTCTGTCTGTTTCTCTCTTTCTTTCATTGGCTGAATTTGAGAAGTTATTTTATCTTCACAAACCATACAAAACACTGTATTCTAACATTCTTGATTATGTTTCATAAATATTGACAAATATTGACAAATATCTCTTTAAACTTGCAGCAAGTAGTGGCAGCAATAAATGCAGGAGTCAATCCTAAAGGAAACACGTCTAACAGTCATTGGGATTTGGGAAGTTCCTTCTTCTTTGCTGGCACTGTTATTACCACCATAGGTAGGATAAAACTTATTATTCTATTTTGAAGAGTGTATTACCTAAAACAAATTTAGTTTACAATATATGTTTTCGTTTGGCAGATTTTGTTTGTCTATTTTAATAGTGTTTTTATATTTTAAGTTCAGATATGTTGGCAAAAACAGTTTTCATTAGACATGCACACTTACATTTATAAGATTCAATAAATGATATAAAAACTTTAATAGAAAGTAGGTTTATATGAAAGGTGCAGTTCATTAGTACACTGTTTACACCAATTATTTGATTATTCATGTTTTAAAACAAGCTTGTGCTTTAAGCTGTTGATTTGGGTCTCTAGAAGTGACATAATTCTAGACAAATATTGTCTAGAATTAATATATATGTTCAATGTTTTCAACATTCTAAGTAATCAGCCTCTTTGGGAAATGCATTTTTATTATAAAGCTGTAGCAGGCAAACTCAGATTTAACCATAGTGGGTTGTATTAGGCTTTTAGTAGCGTGCAACAGCTCATGACAAATATTCTTCATAACCTTGTTAATGTTGTGCATCCTTCACTTCAGATGCTCAATGGGCAGTAGCACCATGCCAAACTAGACACAATGATGGCAGGTTCATGTGTTTAAATATGCATTTTGCCCCAGTCACAGAGAAGGAGGGATGAGGGATGAGGCAGCTCCATATTTGACAGCAAAATGGACACAAAGAGGAGGAATGTAGACTTCCCCCCTTCCCAGTGAAGGAGGCAGAAGTTTGCAATGTTATGAATGGCATGAAGAAAGAGAACTGAAAAAAAAAATCACTAGAAATATTATTGAACATTAGCTTCTCCAGGGTAACTGATTGGCAGTTGTTTAAGGGCATGCAACCCATGGTAGATGCAGGCCCGTTTTGCCACCTGTGGCAAAATGTGAAAGTGCTGCCCTGTGCATGTGCTGCATGCTATGTGCTACCCACTCCTCTGGTTGCCCCCACCAAAGCCTCACTTACCAGGATCATGCGGCTGCAGCTTCCAGGTTCTGGCAAGATCTTGCAAGAGCCCTGTGACATTGACTTGCAGGACTCTCACAAGATTTTGCTAGAAACTGGAAGCTGCCACGGCCACTTCTGTTTGCTTCTCTGGTGGTGGTGTGGGTGCCCCTTGGATTCTGCCACCTGAGGCAGCTGCCTCAGTCTGGGCATATAGTATTGTCTCTATAACAACCTGTTTTAGAGCTGGCTTGCTTAAACTGTCTTTTGAATGCCCTACAGTCACTAATGGCCTGGTGCACATCAGCTGCTTTGAATATGGAACAAACCGCCTTCAGTATTGAATAGGATAATGTGTGTTTAATGGTAGCTCCTCCCGAGACTTTGCAATAAATTCAAATCCCACACTAGGTGTGACGATCTCCAGCTTTCTTCTGGTCTTTACAATATAAGGTCGTGCAAAGCTACTTCAAGTCCTAAAACTAAAAAGATAGCAAGCAATTATTGGCATTCTGGAAGGTATGCCATGGTTGATGGCAGGTTTGAGCTAGCACTTAACAGACTAAAGTAAATCCTTGTAGATCCACATTTGTGATTAGAGACCTGGTCTATGAGTTCAAACGAAATTTTATTGTAAATAATGTTTCTCTCTCTAGTCTATGTCCCCTGTGGGCACAAGCATTTCTTCTGAGGTCAGAACATTTTCTATCTTGTTATGTAGTTTATTGATTCAGCTGAACAATGGGGAATTGTACTATTAACCCTCTTCCTGCTGGCAGGGTGGATATGAATATGATGCATTCATATGAAATATGTGCAGAGCTGCAAATTTGAGCTGGGTATCAGTGGTTTGATGTGTGGCCTGTCCTGCTTGCAACTGACCGTGCTGTTTGAGGCCCTGAAGCTTCTAGGTCTGCATGCGTACAAACCCTAACAGTTGTAACAGTGTCTGTTGCGTGTAAACAAAAATGTGGTAATCAGGGCTTGAAGAGCCAGTAGAAGCAAGAACTGGGGTAGCCATGAGAATGGGAATGATGCCAATGGGGTGTTCAAGCATGTGATAGTAGATCATAACATTCCTCTTATTTTCAAATGTTGGAACAATTATATGCATTAGCTCAGAAGTTTGAGCTGATATGTATTAGCATCAAAAGTTTGATGGAGGTAGAGTTAAGGTTTCTTCGTTGTTGTGAGGTGGGGATGGTGATGTAGGTGGATTTTTCTTCCAAATAAACATTTCTAGAGCGCTGGCTGCCTAAGCTTCCTGATCTGAAAAAAACAAAACCCATGGGAGGAGTTGCCTTTTACTGCTCCAACCTTGGTGCCTCTCCCTTCTTTCTCTTGGTAAGGATCTGTGATGCATCAGATCGGAGGTCAAGTCAGCAGCGGTGCCCCATCATGCCATCTGCTGCTGTTTCTCACCTCTTGGATAATTTTGCATGCAAATTCTCTTTTCATTAATTGATGGAGAATGCTAAGTACACTAAGTATGCTAAGTGGTTATGGTAGGGGAGCAGAGTTATACTGATTTGGATAACTTTCTTTCCTTTTCTCTCTCTCCCCGTGCCACTCTTCTTGCAGAAACTGACCAAGTCTGGAATGAAGTCTAGTCTTGGCTAGAGTAGGTCTGAGGGACGGGGGTAGGGGGGTGTACAACAGAGTGGCAGTACAGACAAAATAGTATCTTCAGTTCTGAAGTGTTTTGAAAGCTAGTACGTATTTCTCAAGGGAAACAATGGTTTACCAACAAGTAAAGCAGCTGAGTTTGCTAACTTGCTCAACAGGCTACAACCTTCTGTTATATATAGTGCTTTTTTTCTTAAAAAATGTTTAGGGGTACTCTCATTTTCCTACTCATATTGAAATACTGCCCTTCAATGAGGCCAAACTTAGATTCACAAAATGTTTAAGGGTATGTGTACCCCTGCGTCTCCCTAGAAAAAAGCACTTATTCTCTCTCTCTCTCTCTCTCTCTCTCTCTCTGTGTGTGTATAGTCACTTTTCCAAGTTGAGGCAATATGTCTCAAATATGTTAAACAGGGCTAGTCACTGACAAAGATGAAATAATATAGTTAAGAATGAAACCCCAAAGATTATAATCTCTCCTCCTCCTCTTCTTCTTCTTCTTCCTCCTCTTCCTCCTCTTCTTCAGTATTCTTAGTATATCTATGCTGTTTCTTTTTTTATGATTCTCAACTACTCTCCCCTTCCAACATCCTCTTTTCTCCTTGAGTATTGATTCTTTTTGACCTTGCATTCACTATTTCATGCAGTCAAAGATCACATTCTTCTAAACCCCCCCCCCCAAATCTTCCTCAATGACACATTCCAAGCTGTATTTACAGATTCCAGAAAAAGGCACCCCCCATCCCCTCCCAGTAACATATTGGAATGTAAAGGGCTAGCAAGGGTCAAATTAAATATGTCCATTTGGAGAATATATGGGAAGAGGGTGCTCCCTGAGGTTGCATGGCATGCGCAAGTAGCAAAACAATAAGCCTGTGTTGGGATAATTATCTACATTTTCTGGCAAGTGTCAGTTGATAATAGCTCTAGAAGCTCATTATATCATGAAGCTATTACCTACTACAGCAGAGCTGGAATTTTGTCATGCTTAATTTTTGGTTCTAAATATGGGCTTTTGACAGTTGATATGAAAACAAACAAAAAAAACTCTGAAGCATTTTAATTCTGAAATTGAAATTTTGGAGGTCATTTTTTTAAAAAAAATGACCACACCTTTTGAAACATAGTTATTTGTATTTATTTATTCAATATAGTTAAAGAAATAACTTCTGGGGTGGGGGCTTTCCTTAAACTAGCTTACAATGATATATAAATTGAGCATATTTATAACAATATGTAAAAAAAAAATTGACACAAAATAACCATGAGGTGTTTTGCATGATGCAATAAGCTAAATCTTGACATAGTAGTGAGATTGTGTTGTATGGTGTGGTTTATTTATATACTACTTCTCAGCCTAAGGTCCCCAAAGCAGTGAACAATATTAATACAAAATAAATATACAGTAATACTACAATACATAAAATACACCAGTCAAAACAATACAAATAGCAACAGAATTTTCAGTGTCCAACCTTGGAGGTGAGTGGGGGAGAATAGAATGTTCCACTAAGTATAGGTCCAAGGAAGGTAATGCATACCAGAAGCAGCCTCCTAACACTTCCAACTCCAGCAGATGTGGAGAGCCTGTCAAATCCCAGTTGGAACAGATTTCCACAAATGTGGGGGGGGGGGCACCACTGAAAAAGCCTTCTCCTTTGTGCCTGTAAGCATGAATGCTTTTACAGGTGGGTATACAAGTTCTTAGAAGTTTATTTCTGCATGCAGGAATGCTGATATGGATGGTGGTCATCTGGTCCAAAACCATTTAGGGCTGTAAGGTTAACACCAGCACCATAAATTGAGCACAGAAATGCACTGGCAATCACTGTAACTGATACAACATAGTTATCATATCATACGTTCTTACCGCCAAGCACCTAGCAGTACCCTGTTGGCTGCATTTTGCATGGATTGAAGTTTCCAAGCCATCATTAAAACTGCATTACACATGGTAGCCTAGGCTGGTGTCGCTAGTGCACGGGCAACTAAAGCATTGCCACAGGGTCACAGTACACCAGAATAAAATGGTAAAAAGCCCTCCTGGCCACCGCTGTAATCTGAACTTGTCTTGTTAGCACTGAGTTTGGTGGAATTCCCAAGCCCAACATTCTGTTTCTAGGGCGGCTCATTGTTCAAGGACATTCGCAAGCAGATGTGATTGTCTTAGCCACCACTAGTATCTGGTGTTCAGAGGCAATATACTTCCCTTTAGGTCTATGAAGCAGCAGCTGAAGGATTTTCTTGAGCAGGCATCTAAGAGAAGCCCTAAAGAATTCATAAAGCTAAATATGCACTCTTTTTAGTGGTGCCATGACTGGTTCTGTCAAGCAGGCTTGTGGTTTTGTTTGAGTATAGCGACAAGTGGTTGTTCACCTAAGATTGCTCTATTTTTGAATTCTGAGATGCAACACATTTTC